GGCGTGGCCCGGCCGCCCCCTCACGCCCCGCCGCCCGCAGTTCATCGACGCCATCAGCAGCAAGCAGGGCGAGCTGGAGGGCTGCGTGTCGGACGGCTACAAGACGGCGCTGACGGAGGAGCGCAGGCGCTTCTGCTTCCTGGTGGAGAAGCAGTGTGCCGTGGCCAAGCACGCCGCCGCCTACCACTGCAAGGTGGGTGCCCGCCGGGGAGCGGGGGCCCCCCAGACCCAGGACCGCCGCCGGCCCGGCTCGGCCCGCTTCTCCGGGCCCGGGCCGCGGCAGGCACTGGGCACTGCCCTGCGGCCCCCCTGCTCCAGGCCACACCCGACGTAACTCTCGGTGGGGGTCTGGGGGACCTGCGAGGTGGGGCTCATGGAACATTCTGGAGCACCGCGAGCTCTAGAAGGTGTGGCTGGGTAGCTGGGCAGGCCAGAGGCCCTCACCTGCACTCCTCTCCACAGGCCCCGAGGTCAGCAGGGCAGGCTGGCGCCCTGCCTGCCGCCCCCCTCGGCTCGGACAGCGCCCCGGGGTGCGGGCAGGGCTGCACGCGGGTTGGCCCTTTGCCCTCCCGTCCCGTGCCAGGGGCCTGGTTGGTAGCTAAGGGCGAGGGGGACGCTCCAGGCAGCTGGCGCAGCGCCCTCTGGTGGCTGCAGGGTGCCAGAGCGGGAGGGCACACAGCCCCGTGCGCGCCTAGGCAGCCCAGCCTTTGTCCTGCATCTGCACCCCTCAACTCGGAGCTCCCCGAGTCTGCCTGCCGCCTCCTTGGGCATTGGGGACGCCCCCCACCCCCTGCAGGCCTGGGTCCACGCGCAGCCCCAGTGGACGCCGCCCTGTGACGCCTGGGCACATGGCCTCCCGCGGGACACGCCCGCGCAGGGCTGCTCGGGCCGGGCTGTTGCCAGAGCCTGGTGGGCAGCCGGCCCGCGGCGCTGACCTCATCCCCCGCCCCACCAGGGCAAGGAGCTGCTGGCGCAGAAGCTGCCGCTGTGGCAACAGGCCTGCGCCGACCCCGGCAAGATCCCCGACCGCGCCGTGCAGCTGCTGCAGCAGGCGGTGGGCAGCAACGGCGCCCTGTCGGCCTCCAAGTCCGACCTGGTCATCTCGGACCCCATCCCGGGGGCCAAGCCGCTGCCGGTCCCCCCGGAGCTGGCCCCGTTCGTGGGGGTGAGTCCGCGGCCCCCCGCCCGC